TCTACTAAAATATTCCTAAAAGTTGGGAGAAAATCTAATTGAAAGGTTAGAGAGATGTAAAGGGAATTTTGAGGAGAAATTAGCAAATTCGGCAACTATTTATAGGGATTTTAGGCAGGCACACCAGGCAAAGCATGTGTGTGTCGTGCACATCGGCGTTGTTGGCTCCTCCAGCTTCCTACCATGCGTCGCTTGCTGGTTGGTCCACATCTAGGTTTCTAGAAGACTGCCACGTGTCTAATTCTTATGGAGCCATGTGTTGCAACCGGTTGATGCCACATCGCCTTGACCTTTGGGGAAGGGAGTGGCCGACTTTCCACGTGGCGCCCCCTCGTAGTTCCACGTCTTCGGCACGCGACAAGCGTTGCGCGCGTGCAAATTTTCTAGTTTTTCTTAATGGTGTAACTTCTTCATACGAGCTCCGTTTTCTATGTTTTTTATATTTTCTGAAAGCCCTCGACGAGATCTACAACTTTCCTTTAAATCTCAACAACTAATTCTCGCTCTAACTAAAATTCCATATATTAGACCGGTTTAGACTGTTAAAGTCCGTGTGAAATTCGTATCTCCTTCATACAAACTTCGTTCTTGACTGTCTTTATATCGATGGACTCTTATGGACGAGATCTTCGATTCTAGTGTAGATTTAGGCTAAAAATCAATTGTTCCTAAATTCAATATCAGTGCGCACACTACTGCGCTGTATTTTAGAAAAATCATAACTTCCTTATGTGAGGTCAGATTTAGACTTTCTACATATGCACACTCTCGCTTTTACGACCACTAAGACTTTGGTTAAGATTATTTATCATAAATATTCTTCTATCGAAAAGTCATTATTGCTTATAATGCCTTAATCGTCTAGCCCGGATCGGCGGGCGTTAGAATTATCTCCCCTTTAGGATGATTACGTCCAATAATCATTAGCAAGACAGGGCTGGATAATGATTGTGCACGTTACCTTTCCATCCTGGATAATAATCGTAACTCATATTTCCTTTTATTTCTAGATTCTTTTCTCTGAGAGTCAAGTGCCTACTCCTGAAGGTACCTCCCTTCATGTTCTAATGTGGCATAATCACAATACAGCAATTCCTAGCTACTGGTTGTTAATTCCTAATGACAATTTTCAATATGTCTGTCGATTGCCTTGAATATCTTCTTCTTCAGCCTTTGACTAAATTCGGACACTACGTCGGACATACTTTGTATATTAGTCGGATTTGATTCGATATGACCACTAGGGTCGGAATAACATTCATTTAGTCATTACTGAAACGATAGTAATGGCGGAAACAAACGAAACGAATCAACTACTAGAGTCTTAAAAACCTTGTGACTTTCCATGATCCAAGTGCGAGTCATGTGCTTCCGATAGTATAGGCCCCTACTACATTTCACACCTACTCACACTCATCCTAATTATTGTCTCGCAGCCCCCAAGTCAAAGTCGCATAGCAACTTAACACATACTAATGTGTCCAAGAAAGCACCTACAACTATTTTCCCTATATTCAATTAGGATTTTCTATTCCTACTTTTATCTCTACAATGATCCAACCCAAAACTTGTTTGTACAAATTCTTTCTTGTGTAGTGGTAGTCTATAAGGCACACTATACCAAAAAATTTCCTACTTCATTCGACTCAATCCACCATACGAGGTTCTGGATGACGATTTTTGTTATTGTTTCTTGATCCGCTACGTGTCCTTACCATGACGAACTGTACACCAAAGGCGTTCGGTGTACCGAGACGAGAATATAGATAGAGAAGTTTTAGACGCGTAATTCTCCTTATCACTTTGAAAAGTTATATGTCAGTTCTAATATCGTAATTAAACGTTTAGAAACCTGAACACATAAAATTTCTTAATCCTAGGTCAGCAAAAGACCTCAAATATAATTTAGATAGGCAACCTAAAGCATATTAAGGCATTTTATAGTTATATCATGCATAAGTCATTTAGCACATAAATTAGGCCTCTTATCCTAAGTAAGCTAGTGCTTGTGTCAATTTAGGCTTTCTATCCTCAATATAATAGACACTCTCACAGTCATTGCTTAGCATTCAAAGTTTAATTCTAGAAATTCTAAAAATTCCTATTTCGCTTAAACTAATGCTCTGATACCAATTGTGACATCGTCTAATTTTCCGAACCAATTAAAACTTTTCTTTACGCTTTTATAATCATTTATTTATATTTGTGGAAAATCTCAATACAAAAGATCATTTTGATTACAAATGTTTGTTTCCAAAGTATTAAAATCCTAAGGATGTCATAATCAATACAGATACAATAGTTACAACGTAAAGACCTGATGGTCCTAAATACTATTGCATGCCGACTCTTAATCACTCAGCATCCTAATCAAGTTCCAATAGCTTAAGTCATGATACCCGTAATGCATATAAACTGAGTGGGTCAGGTTGGAGAACCTGGTGAGATACATAGGGATTTCAATCCCACAATATTCATATGATAATATTCATTAATTATAAAACCTGTAAAACCAACAATTACCATACAATATCCAAATAGGCTTACAGTTCTACATATCTATTCCTACCGATCCTCATAGATCATAGTCTAAGATTATCAGGGAGAAATTATCTCGCTTGATGAACCGTTAAAAAAACTGACTATACAGCTAGGGGATTCCTTTATCGGTGTAAGTCACAAAGAATATGCAGACATACCATTACAGTTATCTGATTAGGACCTACCATTACTGGTTATCCAAGAATATGCAGACATACCATTATAGTTGTCTAATCAGGACCTACCATTTCTGGTTATCCAAGAATATGTAGACATACCATTACAGTTGTCTGATCAGGACCTATCATTTCTCGTTATCCAAGAATGAATACTATAACGTACTCTGGTATGCAATTCATACCATCAACATCTTAAAGTGTCATGGAATAGGACTTTACTCTCAATTCCTAACTTACACACATTCTCCTAATGAGACTACCTAATATCAAACTTAATTAAACTAGGTATCTTCCATAAGTCTAAGTTTATCCCTAGACTAGTTTACAATACATGTAACCAATTTCTAATACCAACTCTATCCTTGGGTGACAATATCCTATCTTTAGTGTATACACTCCATACATAGTGTTATATATTATTAATCATTTATCTTTTCAGCAATGCTACTTTTAATATTACTTATTTATTCATCCTAACATAAAATAGAATCATATCTGGTTCGCACATAGCACTATATATATATATATATATATATATATATATATATATATATATATACACACACACACATAGCTCAGCATATAACCTAGGTAATAAGCATATAATTTACATATGACATCTAACAGATAATTAATACTTTAATTAATACTAGTATTAAATCATGTTCATGAAAGGGACTATGTACGCACAAGATAAAAGTGGATGCCTCAGAATTTGGGCAGAACTTCACCTTAATTAGCACTTAGCTTTTCCTTTGACGTGACTTAGGTATGATTAATACAGAGTTTTAGTCTAATGATCCTGGTGACTAATAATACTCTAGATCCTCACTAATCCCAATGTTTACATCAAGATCTATAAAGTAATGATCAACCAGGCATGACAGTTGGGAGGCATGACCATTTCGACATAGTCATTTTGAAATCCAACAACCAAGTCAACGTAACCATTCTAGACACCTCTCTCTTAAGTAGATCGATCATTATTAGAACTTGGAATTACGGATAAATCTTATTTATAAGGTCAAAATATAAGTTACACTGAAATAGATAGAGTGTAGCTTAACTTACAGAGCTTTTAAGCGAAAACCGGGAAAATGCACGAACAGAATCCCAACTCGAATACTCCGTCTAGTCAGGCTCCAAGGGTTCCCGAGATTCTACTAAAATATTCCTAAAAGTTGGGAGAAAATCTACTTGAAAGCTTAGAGAGATTAGAGAGAGATGTGAAGGGAATTGTGAGGAGAAATGTGCAAATTTGGCAGCTGTTTATAAGGATTTTAGGCAGGCGTGTCGGGCAAGGCATGTGTGTGTCGGGCACATCGGCCTTGTTGGCTCCTCCAGCTTCCTGCCACGTGTCGCTTGCTGGTTGGTCCACATCAAGGCCTCTAGAAGACTGCTATGTGTCCAATTCTTATGGAGCCACGTGTTGCAACCGGTTGATGCCACGTCGCCTTGACCTTTGGGGAAGGGAGCGACCGACTTGCCACGTGGCGCCCTCTCGTGGTGCCACGTCTTCAGCGCGCAACAGGCGTCGCATGCGTGAATTTCCAGTTTTTCGAAATGGTGTAACTTCTTCATACGAGCTCTCTTTTTGATGTTCATTATATTTCCGGAAAGCTCTCAACAAGATCTACAATTTTCCTTTAGACCTCAACAGCTAATTCTTTCTCGAACTAAAATTCCATATTTTTGACTGGTTTAGACTGTTAAAGTCCGTGCAAAATTCGTATCTCCTTTATACGAACTCCGTTCTTGATTGTCTTTATATCAATAGACTCTTATGGATGAGATCTTCAATTATCGTGTAGATTGTTTAGGTTAAAAATCAACCGTTCCTAAATTCGATATTAGTGCGCACACTACGACGCTGTATTTTAGAAAAATCATAACTTCTTTATGTGAAGTCAGGTTTAGACGTTCTGCCTATGCACACTCTATCTTTTACGACCAATACGACTTTGGGTAAGATTATTTATCCTAAATAATCTTCTATCAAAAAGTCATTATTGCTTATAATGCGTTAATCGTCTAGCCCGGATCGGCGGGCGTTACATATGATATGGAAGGACATAGAGAGGAAGATGAATAACCTTTTGGTCCTCCCATGTTATAAGTTACGAACATAGAAGGAAATGTAAATTTTCAAAATTAATCTAATCAATGGTAATGGTAGGGAAATATTGCTAAGAAAAGTCCGCTGGAAAACTCATTTTTGCCGGAGGCTTGCTAGAGAAGACGAACGGAGAGTCGCCGGAGATAAGAAATTGCCGGAAACCTTCAATAGCCGGTTTTAATGGTTTCTGTGAACACCTGCAACAAGTTCAATGGTAAATGAGGTACAAAAGAAAAAGGAAAGTGACCAAATGAGTACAAAATCAACAATTAGTTACCGAGATCATTTTCTATACCAACCGGCTTAAATCGTCATGCACAGATCAAACTGTGAAACAAATATATATGCACTAATGACATTGTCATGGTTTCCTTTCAGTAATACCTGCCTTAAGTATTACACTTGGAAAAGATCTTTAACACTAGCTTACATAGTTACATACACCAATTTTGAATGAAAGTTTTGCAACTGATATAAGAGAACAACATCCGTAAAAAAACAAATGTTCCCAAATGATAAAAATATAAATTATCTACCTTAAAAATTTCCTCAAACGCATCAAAATCACCAATGATCTTTACAAGAACAAACACCCTCCCCAAAATGATGAAACCGATACGAATCCCTAACTACAATATCCCGATTCGAAACCTTTGACACAAACTTTATCCAATTATGACAATCATTACACACACGAAGATTCTTCATCACACGAATAGGAACCCTAATTGACAAACTCATAAGCCCAAATGTAATCGCCAACTTCTCACTATGCACACAACTCGATGCTTCCTTCTGATCTTGCTCCAAATCATTCAAAAGACTATATCGATCTTGCACATACCCAATTTCACAAACCCTTTTATTAATCACTTCCAAATAATCATAAATCTCATCAGCTTTCGGATGCAATCGATCACCAACAAAGAACGCATGAACACTGTTCTTGACCTCAATCCAGCTTTGACCAGGTACCTTTTTCACCCCTCTATCTTTCATCAACTTTCTTGTCCGATTTCTATCCTCCCATTTCCCAGAAACCGCATACATATTTGATAACAAAACATAAGTCGCTGAATCTTGTGGCTCTAATTCAAGAAGATGCTTCGAAGCAATTTCCCCAATTTCTTTGTTCTTATAAACTGTACACGCGCTTAAAAGCGTTCGCCATGTCATCGCGTCTGGTTTGACTTCCATTGACTTTATGAACTCCATCGCTCGGGTCAAATACCCGGCCCGCCCGAGGATATCTACAACACACGCGTAATGTTCGGGTCTAGGGGTTAATCCGTAATTTTCACTCATGGATTTGAAATACTCGATTCCCTTTTCAACTAATCTCACATGGCTACAAGCTGTTAAAACACCTACAAAAGTTACATAATTTGGTGTGAATTTGTAATATTTCATTTCTTCAAAGAGTTTAATCGCTTCATTTCCACATCCGTGTTGTGAATAACTTGTAATCATTGCATTCCATGAGATTTCATTCTTTTTATGAATTTTAAGAAACTCTTGTTTAGCATCTTGAAGACTCCCACATTTTGAATATAAAGTTATTAAAACGTTTGAAGCTTCGGTTTCCAAATTATACCCTGTTTTCATCATTTTTCCATGGATTTGTTTCCCTTGTGTCATGTTTGTTGTGTTTGCAGCTGCACTAACAGCAGATCCATATGTAAACATATTCATTTCAACTCCAAGTTCATTCATTTTAGAAAAAACTTTCAAAGATTCCTCAAAATTCCCACTTTGTGAAAACCCTGAAACTAACCCATTCCATGAAACGTTATCTTTAACGTCAATTTTGTCAAATGCTAAATACGCTTCATGTATTCTACCACATCGTGCGTATAAACAAACAAGTGAGTTTCCAATTGAAAGATCAGATGAATACCCATTGACAACAGTTTGACCATGGATTTGACTTCCTTGATTAATCGATTGAATTCCAGCACATGCAGTAATTGCACTTGAAAATCCGATGTTATCTGATTGGATTCCTTCATGAATCATGTCATAAAACGTATTCAAAGCTTCAAGAAACAAATCATGTTGTGTGTATCCAGCAATCATAGCTGTCCAAGAAACAACGTCTTTTTCATTTAGGGTTTTGAGAATTTTCAAACCAGTGTCCAAGTATCCATGCTTAGAGTACATGTCAATAAGCACACTACAAACATATACATTCAACTGAAAACCCGTTTTCACAACTTGGGTATGAATCTGTTCTCCAAGATCCAAATCCCCAACTAAAGTACATGTCCTTAAAATACTAGGATACGTGTATTGATTAGGTCTCAATCCTGAAATTTGCATTTGAGAAAAAATACAAAAAGATTCATGAAGATCACCTAATTGTCCATAAGCCACTAACATCACATTCCATAGAACAACATTTTCTTTTCTTGTTGTGTTAAAGAACTCATGAGCAGTTTTCACATCTGAAGTTTTTACATAAAGGTCAAGTAAAGAACCTTCTATGATTATATCTGAACACATTCCTGATTTTATTGCATAAGAATGGAGTTGTGTTCCTTTATGATAATCTCCAATTGAAGCACAAACACTTAAGAGGCTAGCAACTGTGACAGAATCTGGTTTTAAGTTATCAGATTGCATTCTTTCATATAGTTCTAAAGCTTTCTCACTTAATCCTTTTTTAGAAAGACCTGAAATAAGAGTGTTGTATGATACTCCATCACGATATTCCATTCTGCTAAAGATTTGTTCAGCAGATGAGAAATTGTTGGAGCGTGAATATAAAGTGACAAGGGCATTACAGACAAAAGTTTCAGATGAAAAACCCCATTTATGGATAAGGGAATGTAACTGTTCTCCAAGGTTGAAAAATGCAATCTTTGTACATGAGCTTATGACACTAGAGAAAACATAAGGAGTGGGTGAAGTTCCAGAATTATGCATTTCAAGAAATAACAAAATGCTTTCTTCTTCATGTCCATTTTGGGAGAATCCAGAGATCATAGCAACCCAAGAAACGTTATCTTTCATATCCAGGTTTTGAAAGATGTATCTTGCAGTGTTGATATACCCCTTTTTTGCATATAAATCGATTAATGGATTGCAGACAATGTAGTTTGAACCAAAACTATAACGAATGATCTTGTTGTGGATCTGTTTTATGTTGCTATGATGAAAGTTATCTCCTGTAATAGCACGTAGAACATTTGCAAATGTTACTTCATTAGGGGAGTGGTTTTCTGCTAACATTTTTGAAAATAGACCCAATACTATAGTAGTCAACTTCTTTCCGATTAAACCAAAGATTAAGTTATTCCAAAAAGTCACATCTCTGTTAGGCATTTCATCGATTACCTGGCATGCATCAGTTAAATCACCTTTTGAGGCGTAAACATCAGCTAGACGGCTGCAAATTACGTAATCCCTATCAAAACCTGATTTCAGGACCCTCCCATGAAGCTTCTTAGCGTCTATCAGAGATCCGGAATTCGTATAGCCTTCTAAGAGCCAACAGTATGTCTGCTGATTAGCAAAAACTCGGCCGGAATTGTTTTTATCCACCTTCATCTCAAAACTTTCTGGGACCTTCTCATCTTCTTGATCGACGATTCGGAAACTTGCAGAAGTTCGAAAAGCAGCTAATCTCAATCCACTCAATTTCCCACAAAAATACTGCAATTAGAGCAACGCTATCATTATTAACGGTATAAAATATGAATCAATTGGAGAAAAATATATTTCTTTACCGAAAATTCCAACATGGGTTCCACAGATTTAAACAGATTCGGGTTTTAAGAAGTCTAAGAGAGCTGATGAACTTACCTTCGGGAAATTTGTTGCTGATTTACGCGGGAAAGGTTGAAATGGGTTATGCGAGAATGAACCACGTAATAATATCATTGGGAGTATAAAGCGAAAAATTACTTCACCGGCGTACGTCGGGAGAACCCCTCTGTCACTCTCTACACATACTGTAAGAAGAAGATTCCGACTGAAAACTTCATAAACGAGAAAGTTTCTTTGAGATTAAGAGGGTGTTTGTGAAAACTTAAAAAAAAAAAAAAAAAAGGCTTTGTTACTTTTGAAAAACAGCTTATTGTTGGAACTTCTTACTTATCAATGAATTCTTATTTTACTATTCATAGAAATTAACAAATATACCCCTTAACCTAAAACTACCTGGACACAAAAACATACGCTATAAAACTTATAGCGTTTTGATACTCGATAAGCTTAGCCAAACATTTTTTTTTAAAACTTTGTTTTAATGTCGGTATAAGTTAATAAGTTAATAAGTTATAAGTTAAAAAGTTAAAAGCTATTTTCTATAAGTTTTGCCAAACGCCCTCTAAAACGGTCAGGTAGTCAAATGTTTATGCCATGCGGTTTATCCTTTACATCTTTTCTTTTCTTTTTTTAAGAAAAGCTCGTAAAAATATATTAGGCCATACTGAGTGGTTTCACTTTTAGCATACTCCCTTTAATGTCATATAGGCGTCATATAATTTTTTTACCACAAAAGTATGGTTTCTTATTCACAATAGAAGTGGTGTCACACTTTTTTTAATAATTTTTAAATAAAAACTCCATTTTTAATTAAAAAAAAAAAGAACTACCTACTTAGAAAAAAAAACACACACACACACATCAAACGACTAAAACCCACAATCTTAAACCTGCCTACTTAGCATAACGTTTTTTGACGTCGGCTTTCATCGTCATAGCAATTTCAAGCTCTTCCCCGGTCATGTTCGATGTGTCCATCATTAGTATCCTCATGCCACTATCACTTTGTTTCCGAAGTCATCTTTCTGAAGCAATTTGCAAAATTTTGTCCATTCTTTCATTTATACCCTTTATATCGTTCCCGATTTCTTTCAGCTCATCCGAATCTGACGTTTTGCCTTTGACTTTGTTTTTCTGCTTTGTCCCATCCCATTGGTCGGGAAGGTGGTGAAACTTGAATGGGTACATCATCGTTGAGGTCAAAACCAACACGAGCATCGGATGTAGTGTGGTCGGATTCAGATGTTCTTGAGCGTTTTGAACCACTATCGATATGCTCGTCGGATGATTTGCTTGTTAGAAATTAGGGATGAAAAGATTGCTTGGATTCTCTGAAAGTCATGGAACACTATCAAATTGAAGTATTTTGATGCTACAAATCGAACACTTAATTGGATAAATTTTAGAGTTTTCAGAATGAAAGAATGTTGATGATGATAGGTTTTATGTAAAACAAATAAACTAGAAAACAATTCTTAAGTTTACATGCAACTTTGGATCTATGTTTTAGCTATTAAACATATAACTTTGAATTGCAAAATAAGAACCCCAAGGGAGGAGGCTATTTTCGAAAAATAACAAATTAGGGTTTTAGAATCACATACCTTTCAATTTTTATAGCAAACAATTGGTGATCCTTGATCTTGATCTTCTTGGAAGCTTAGCACCACAAATGTAATGCCTCTAATGGAATCACACCCAAGAACTAGCAAGAAGGAAACTATAGAGAGAGAGGAGGAGAAGGAGAGAGTATGTATTTTTAGGCCAGGGTTTCTCCAAGTGTAAGGATGGATGAAATTCAGGAGCCAGGAGGCTCCTTTTATAGCTGAGGCAGCTATGGTTTAGGGGATAACCTTAACGTTCCTTTGCTTAGGGCCCAAGCTTATCCAGAAGCCTTATCCAAGGCCCTTGGACGAAATCATTAGGGTTTCCCCTATAGATTTCGTCCACCTCCTCCAAGGAGGTTCTGGAACCTTCCATCCAACTATTTGATCATTACAAACCAGTCCATGTACTTTACAATTAATACAATTAACCCCAAAATCAATTCTAATTAATTTCTAGCTAACTATTAATCAAACATTATGATTTCTAATTAATATATTAATCTCATAACATATTAATAAATCATTTATATTAATTTATTAATCTCATAATAAATTAATCTCTCTCCTTTCATAATTTCCTTGTCCAGTTGCTAGGTTTGAAGGCAACCCAAAATGACTGCGTTGTTATCAATTCAAGTACATACCAATTATAGTTATGGGTTTAGACACCTAATCCAACAGTCTCCCACTTTGATAAGTCTGTAACTATAATTGCTAGTATGACTTCTAAATCGACCAACAAGTTGTAGCTTCCAAAAGCTGCTACCGAACTCTGACCCAGTCAGTTACGTGTCCTAAGATAAGTGACCATATAATCCTTCGTTCTGCAAGATATCCCTAGACATAATACATGGAATGCAATCAATCTCTTTTTCCAGAATCTATGTTTCTCGATTTCTGGTTTGTGATGATGTAGGACTTCTAATTGAACACATCAATTTAGTCCTGGCTGGGCCCAACACATAAGTCAACACCAAATCATCGAGGGGCCCAAAAATATCGCTTTTCCCATTAGGGCAAAAGGAACGAATAAACATTGACTCGTATGCTTGTATCTTTTATTTATCAAACTATACATGACAATACGTTTTATAACACCAAGTTACTGATGTGTTTTCGTATCACCAATGCATAACCGACTTGTAAATTACAACTCATATTTCTCCATTTCAAGATTATAAGATATTATCGTCTCAGTATTACTCGTGATGAATTCCATGAAGTAATACTCTGAGCGAGGGTTTATCCAATACTCAAATCTCCATTTCTAAGTACTCATAAACATTGCAGCAGTTCTATTGCTATGCTAACTCCCTCAGACAATCTGCAATCCAATTCATGACAGTCTTAATTCACTACTTACTTCCAAAAGTACGAGCGACTATGGAATTTGAATAATCATATTATTCGGGAAGTAAAACATGCAAAATATGAAACACAATAATAAACAATTGATAGAAGGCAGTAAACAAACTTATAAATAATACTTTATTATTTAATCACCAAAAGTCAATTACATTTACTTTGTTACAAGTTTCAGAATAAAACTAATCTAACTACTAAAACTAATATCATCTCTCAGTCCAATGCTCCGAGCATGCTGAATATGCTTAACCCTACTCAGACCCTTTGTGAGGGGGTCTGCTGGGTTATCCTCAGATGATACCCTCTTTACGACAAAATGGCCTTCTTCTACTCTATGTCTGATGAAATGGTACTTTCTGTCGATATGTTTGGTTTTACCATGATCTCTGGGTTCCTTTGTTAAGGCAACCGCTCCTTCATTATCACAGAACAGTTCCATGGGCTCTTGAATGGTTGGAACAACTCGGAGATCTCTGATGAAGTTCCTCAACCAAGCTGTTTCTTTCAACGCTTCACTCGCTGCTATGTATTCTGATTCACAAGTAGAATCAGCCACCGTATCTTGCTTGGAACTTTTCCAAGTAACTGCTCCTACGTTCAGTAGAAATACCCAGCCAGATTGAGAACAAAAGTTGTCCTTATCCGTTTGAAAGTTGGCATCACTGTAACCATCTACTCTCAAAGTATCATTGCCACCAAGTACAAGGACCCAGTCCTTTGTCCTTCGCAAATACTTGAGTATATTCTTAACCACTATCCAATTAGCTCTACCCGGATTTTCCTGATAACGGCTGACCATGCTCAAAGCAAATGCCACATCAGGACGAGTACATGTCATAGTGTACATGATCAATCCGACAGCGGAAGCATAAGGTACACGACTCATGTCAGCTATTTCCTCATCTGTACTCGGGCATTGAGTCTTACTTAATTTGGTATTGCTCTGGATATGTAGCTCTCCCTTCTTTGAATTTTCCATACTAAACCTTTTTAGTACCTTGTCCAAGTATATGCTTTGACTAAGTTCAATTAGTCTCTTATTTCTATCTCTCAATATTCTAATCCCAAGAATATAGACAGCTTCTCCAAGGCCTTTCATGGCAAAACACTTTCCAAGCCACGGCTTAACGTCTTTCAAGGTTGGAATGTCGTTACCAATGAGTAATATGTCATCAACATATAACACCAGAAAAGTTACTATACTCCCACTAGCCTTGATATACACGCAGAACTCATCTTCAATCATAGAGAAACCACACTCTTTGACTTTCTCATGGAAGCAAAGATTCCAGCTACGAGATGCTTTTTTCAATCCATAAATGGATTTCTCAAGCTTGCACACTGTATCGGGAAACTTTGCATCAACAAAATCCTCTGGCTGATTCATGTAAACATCCTCAGCCAACTTCCCGTTAAGGAAAGCGATCTTGACATCCATCTGCCAAATTTCATAGTCATGAAAGGCAGTTATGGCGAGCAATATTCTAATAGATTTAATCTTAGCTACTGGCGAGAAGGTCTCATCATAGTCAACCCCCCGGGTTTGAGTGAAACCTTTTGCAACCAGTCGAGCCTTGAATGTATGTACATTTCCATCCATGTATGTCTTCTTTTTGAAGATCCATTTGCACCCAACTGTCTTACGACCTGATACATTATCAATCAAACTCCAAACTTGGTTGTCATACATGGACTTTAACTCGCTGTCCATTGCCTATTTCCATTTGGAAGCTTCTGGGCCTGTCATTGGTTCCCTGTAGTTAGTTGTTTCATCCAGATTTACCAGTGTCCTATTACTGATAAATGTGTCACCTTCTGAAGTAATATGAAAACCATATAACTCGGGTGGCACACTAACTATAGTGGATCTTCGAAGAGGTAATGAGTTATCAAATGGTTCAACAAGAACTGTTTCCTCTGGTTAAGTGCTAGTGTCATCTAAGGTTCCTTCATTGGCTAACTCTTGAATTTCTTCAAGGTCAATGGTACTCCCATTGTCCTATTTGAATATGAGCTCTCTTTCTAGAAAGACTCCTCACTGTGCTACAAAAACCACGTTTTCACTAGGTCTGTAGAACAAATATCCAAAAGACTGTTTTGGGTAACCAATGAAAACACATTTCTCACTTCTAGCTGCTAGCT